AAAATTCCTCTGTAGTTACTTACAGAATCTATCCATCCATTTTCTTCCGCTTCATCCTTTGCCGGGTCGCAAGGGCAGCAGTCTAAGCAAAGACGCCCAGACTTCCCTATCCGCACACACTTCCTCCGGCTCATCCGGGGGGACCCCAAGGCGTTCCCAGGCCAGCTGAGAGACATAGTCCCTCCAGCCTCCTCCCGGTGGGACGTGCCCGGAACACCTCCCCAGGGAGGCGTCCAGGAGGCATCCGGAACAGATTCCTGAGCCACCTTGACTGGTTCCTCTCGACGTGGAGTAGCAGCGGCTCTACTCCGAGCTCCTCCCGTGTGACTGAGCTCCTCACCCCATCTCTAAGGGAGCGCCCAGCCACTCTGCGGAGGAAGCGCATTTCGACCGCTTGTATCCGCGATCTTGTTCTTTCGGTCATTACCCAAAGCTCATGACCATAGGTAAGGGAGGGAACGAAGATTGACCGGTAAATCGAGAGCTTTGCCTTTGGCTCAGCTCCCTCTTTACCACAACGGTCTGATACAGCGACCGCATCACTGCTCCGATCCGCCTGTCAATCTCACGCTCCATCCTTCCCTCACTCGTGAACAAGACCCCGAGATACTTGAACTCCTCCACTTGAGGAAGGACCTCTCCACCCACCTGGAGAGGACAGGGCACTTTTTTCCGGTCAAGCACTATGGTCTCGGATTTGGAAGGTGCTGATTCTCATCCCAGCTGCTTCACACTCAGATCCTAACTAGGGATGTAAATCGGCGACCGGTTAACCGGTGGTTGACCGTCACAGCGTTAACCGGTCAAAGCTGTCGGTTAAAAAAGAGAAAACGGGGAGAGGGGAGGTCTCTTAATAACGCTATTTTAAGCCCTATTTGCACGGTGTGACGAGCGGGTCTGTATCTAGCTGTGTGCGCCCATGTATTATAAACTCCGGGACGACTCTCACGCCGCACAAGCCACATATGCACACACGCACGCGCGCGCACACACACACACACACACACACACACACACACACACACACACACACACACACACACACACACACACACACACACACACACACACACACACACACACACACACACACACACACACACACACACACACACACACACACACACACACACACACACACACACACACACACACACACACACACACACACACACATACTTTCCCCCTCTCCATACGTAACATCCACACGCATCATCTCTCCCCTCTGTTACCGTCAAAGTTGCACACTGGCGCGGGTCAGAACTACATTGGAGCTTACATTTACACACACACACATACATACACACACACATACATACACACACACACATACATACACACACACATACCGGTCTGTCGCGCTCCTCTGTGTCACGGAGCCCAAAGGATTCGCGCAAATACGCGGCTCCAGTCAAATCACATGGGACATGTTTGTGTTTATGGTCCTCGGGATCAGCTCCACACACATCACTTGTATTTAAACTTTTGTGAAGACCTGTGAGACGCGGCTCGTCACTCGCTGCTCTGACCATGTGAACGAGCCGTCGTTTGCTGCTAGAAAGTTTTGGTATTAACCCGCAGCACAGCAGAATGGGAAGATTAAAAAAGCAGTTCTCTGTTTCAAAGAACGTGGACTATTTTAAACTACCGGTTAATGAGGCTCGGTGGTCGGTCATGAAAATTCATAGTTTTTTACATCCCTAATCCTAACCGTCCCAGTGCATGTTGCAGGTCCTGGTTCGTTGGAGCAAACAGGACAACATTGTCCGCAAACAGCAGAGATAAAATCCTGAGGTCTCCGAACCGGACCCCCTCCGGCCCCTGGCTGCGCCTAGAAATTCTGTCCGTTTTGACAGTGAACAGAACCAGTGACAAAGGTCAGCCTTGGAGGAGGCCAACATGCACCGGGAACAGGTCTGACTTACTGCCGGCGATGCAAACACAGCTCTGGCTCCGGTCATACAGGGACCGGGCGCCCCTCAGCAGAGGTCCCCGGACCTCTTACAGGATATATAACACATTTATCACAAATTGAGCAACTTTTTTTTATTTTTTGTAAATTTGTTTGAGGAACATGCATATCTCTTCAAAGCGATAGAAAAAATGTATTTTTTTGTTATCAAAAATCCTTGAGATTTGTTTTGCACTTGAACTATTTCTTCATAAAGCATACATCTAATCCCAATTGCACCTTTGTCATAAACATTTTAACTGTATATTTTGTCAAGTTTCTACTGAAGTTTGTAACACAGACACCAACATGGACAGGGGGAATGCCACTTAGTTCAAGATCACCTACTTAGAGTAAACATTCCATTCCATCTTTGGTTATTACAGGGTGTTCACGCGGCCGAGAAAACACAGAAATTACAGTTTAAAAAGAATACTGAGGTTTGTTTTCCCTGCCGCTCAAGGTCTGTCTGTGTTGGCTAAAATTATGCATGCTTTGGGGGAAGATACCAAAATGAGGACCTTGCGCACAGACAAAACACAAAAGTATGGCCCTGCATACCTTCAACTATCTTTTCCCTAGATGTGCCCAACATGGGGCTATAAGGCATGTTTGAGGGGGGGACAAAGGGTCTACAACACAAGGATCCTTATTTGGACATGAGAATTCGCATTGCCAGTTCTAACTAAAATAACTTTTGCAGTTTGTTGATGGGGCTACCTTGGGAAACGGGACCACACACACGTTACAGTCGACAAAATGGAACAACTGCTTGGGCTGTGGCATTCCACATTTGGGTTAAATGAGCGTTAAAAAGGCAAGTCTGTGAGCTGGCTAAGCAGAAAATCAAGTCACTAGATAGACTTTTTAAACTGCTAAGAATATCAAGATCGCTATGAGCAATTGAATAACACCAAATAAAAGAATTAAAAGAAATAAAAATAAGCAAAAAATATCTTCAATTACCAAGGAGGTCCTAAATCTAAATTAGCATATAATAACTATTGGTGTAACAGTATTTCATCATAAATCTTTCAACATTGGAGATGTTAAGATTATGTTGTTATTCATAGTGACTGTTTACTGTAAACACCAGATCAGGGAAAGGGTAATCCACATGGTTTATGGTAAAATGTCCCTGCAGGCATAACGCATCTAGTGGAACAAAAAACACTAAAGATCGGCTCCGTGCAAGTTTTCAAACATGTTTTAAAAAGCTATGTAACTTTTGTTGCTAAGTATGAGAATAAAGTGGCTGTAATTGGTTTTATTGACGCGCAAAGAAAGCAACTTACTTTAGGAGACAATGCCTTTGTTAGATTTATTACTTTTAGTTTACATCCATCCATCCATTTTCTTCTCCTTAATCCATTTCTGGGTCGGGGTGGAGGCAGTCAGAGCTGCACCCAGTACACTTACTTTTACTTTATTGCTGGAAAAACATTTTACTCATCTTGTATTTTTCTCAGCCGTGAAATAAATTGCACAATCAACGCCTTTTAATATTCAATGCATACATTTTGACAATTTGCAGTTTCACTTGAAGGATCCAATGTGCTATTACCACTTCACTCACTTTATATTGATTGCTTATACATTGGCAAACATAAAACATAAGACACGCAATATCTGATGAAACAATTGGTCTTGTCTATAGTAAAAAAAATTGACCCTGTCTTGCCTTTTTTAATAACCCTCTTGCGTGTCTTTCATACTTCGTACATCCATTCACAGCGGGTGGCATGATCTTGTCTCATTTTGTAACCATCGCAAATCTCTGCTGAGCAAATTCCCATGTGTCATCAAACAAAGCTTGGAGCGGTGTACAAAATCTCTGCTGAAACACGGAACACCACTTTGCACCTATTCAAAGCATTTCTCAGCCATTCAGTGGGATCAGTTCTTCTCTGGCAACTATAAAGCGACCCGATTAAATATTAATCGCCACACCATTTCCCAGACTATGCGATGAGGATTCACTTTAGAGGGTTAAGAGCAGAAGAAGAAGCCCTGGTACGCCTCGCCCACACATATGCAGACTAAAAGAGTTCTTACAGGTCCATTACATGAAAAGGAACCATCAAAGGAGCCACTGACCAACACAGTCAAAAAGCAGGATGGGTGTATTTTCCCAGGGTTAAGCACATTAAGCTACAGCTAAATAACTGTTCTTCTTCTTTAAAGACAATGTATTGAAAAACATTACTTTTCAATAACTGAATAGCTGTAAGACGTTTAGAGGGCTGCTCATGAGAAAACACTGCTCTTTGTGAGACTTTTTCACAATGCATGAATGTAATATCGATAGCAGTAATATTGTAGTTTTCCAGTGATGTATCTAGATTTTCTATCCATGAGATCCTGGACTAATTCCCCATTCAAAATAAGTATTTGGTTTTGAGTTGTGCCACACTCCAAAAAGCATTATGTTCTTTATCATTATTGTGTTTAATTTTGACTTGGCTATTATTATTTCATTATATTTATGTTTACACAGTATGACAAGTTGAACAACAGGAGATTTGTTATTTGTTATTCAACTAATGTAAACAAGAAAATTATGAAGTGGGATTTTTCCTAGTTTAGAAATATGAGTCATAAGCCAACCAACTGCAAACCTGTATATAACGTCTATCAACTAAATCTATCCATCCATCCATCCATTTTCTTCCCCTTAATCCATTTCTGGGTCGGGGGGGTGGCAGTCAGAGCTGCACCCAGTTCACAGAGCACCAGCCCCTCACTGATCCTCCTGTCCACAGGAGCTGAGATCTTTCAGTTGGGGCTTTTGGGCAAAGTGGGGTTAAGTGTCTTGCCCAAGGACACATCGACAGCAGTCATCAGTGGGAGTGAACTCCCACTGAGTACGGAGTACTCCCTCCCAACTAAATCTAATGTTTGACATATGAACTATATACCAGAGTAAGCGATGTTCAGGGAGAGAGAGAAAAGTTCCAAATTTACAGATGTAATTCATGGCCATTGAGACTTTGCATATTTTTTTTGTAGATCTAAAGCAGAAAGGGATAGTTTACAGATATTTCCTTACCAGTTTTGGAGGTGATGGCAAAGAATCCCTGGGGGTTGCCGCTTGTGATGCGATAGCTGAGTTTCTCGCTGGACTGGGTGTCGGGGTCCGTGGCTTGGATCTGGATGATGGACACGTCTTTGGGTGAGTTCTCCATGACCGAGGGGTAGTAGACGGGCTCGGAGGTCTGTGGAGCGTTGTCGTTCACATCTTGGACCTCCACGTACACCTCAACAAAGGCGGACTGGGGGACCACGCCGCGGTCCATGGCGTACACCGTGAGCCAGTAGTGAGGGGTGGTCTCATGGTCGAGGAGCTCCTGGGTGCGGATCACTCCTGCGATGCAACAAACAAAGAAAAAAGGGAAGACATTGTTAATAATCAGTACAATAAATTGGATTTTCTTAGACTTTCTTTCAGAATGATAAAATCTGAAGAATGTTGGCATAGAGATTCAAAAACAAAATGTATGTGTAATAAGGGGGTATAAGGGAGAAATATAAAATATATAAGAAATATATTATGTCTTATAATATGTATACTATAAATATAAAAGAGATGCAAGAAGTTCAATGAATAATTAACCTTACATAGACCTCACAAAACAGGCCGAGAAGAGGTTTTAGGTCTGCAAAGTATTTTTAATCAAACTACCCAACGAGTAACAATTCATCTCAATGAAGATATTCTCCAGGGGCATCACGTTTTGATTTTGTCAAACAATCACATATTCCATAAAAAAAAAACATTCACTGACCTCTTTGGGATGTAAATTACTAATCAATTAATTGAAAGAAGAATCTGTATCCCAAATATTTACAGAGTACTGCCAAAAACAAAAACAAAAAATATATACCACAACAAATATGCATGGTGGAATATCAACACAACACGATAACTAAATCAATATTTTGGCAAAATATTTCATGAATATTTTTTCCTATTTATCTTCCTGGTCGAGAGATTATGCATATTTTATGGACCCACAAAGTTTAGTTCTACACTGTAAAAACGAAAAAGTTAGTTGGCTGCACGCAATTTTTGAGCTGAAGGCATCAAATTAATTATTTACGTTTAGAAGAACTAAAATCATTAAGTTGTGTCAGGTAAGTGTTTCTAGTTCTGCCAACTACGTTTTTGTAATTCAAGTTACTGGAACTTTCAAGTCTGTCAAAACTAGGGGTGGGAACCTAAGGGTACCTCACGATACGATACGATACAAAGCTCACGATAACGATAATATCACGATAACGATATCAGGATAACAATATCACAATAACGATTTTATCACGATACAACGATTATTGATATATTGGTCAGAAATATACAATATGCCAATTTATGGCATAAATAAAAGAAAAATTACTCTTTATGTAATGATAAATAGAATGGAGATGCGTAATGTAGCCATATATTAAGTATTGATACCAATTTTTTTTTTAAATTGTAAAAAAAAAAAAAACCAACAATTTTTTGGTTACTTGATACTTGGCAAATGCATATCGATAATCGAATCGCAGGAGAAAGTATCGTCACACCCCTAGTCAAAACGCACTCTTTTAAGTTTATATTACCGTTCCCTGCAATAACTTACTATTTTGAGTTTCAATCACCCCCCACATTAAATCATCCTGTTTCATCCTCATGTGTATTTATATTGCACTTTTACAGACCAAGGTCACTTGGGTAGCAGAAACCGGAGCACCCGGAGGACAGCTATGCAGACACGGAGAACATGCAAATTCCCCTCAGAAAACCCCTGTTAGGACCAGGATTCAAACCCGGGACCTTCTTGCCAAGAAGCGAGAGTGCTATCCACTCGGCCACCGTGCCGCACACACTGAAAACCCGAATATTGGGGAAAACTAATGTTTCTTAAGGAAACTCGTTCCCTCAAAGATTAGTTTTATAAATACCATAAACATAACAGTATAAGTTCATTAAACACAGTCTTTATTAAAACTCATCAGCTCACAGACCAACTTACACATTGTTTGTACTAATCCGTTTTAGTTTTATAAATGCCATGAACATAACAATACAGGCTCATTCGACAGTCATATATTAGTCTGAAGGTCCTGAACTCTATAACTCTCAGATTGAGAAACAATAATGCTTTCAACTCAATTAGAGCTGTTTCTGTCAAGTACTGCATTCAGGCTCAGTGACCTTTCATTACAATTTGAACATTCTACAAGACTAACCCAGGGAGTATATAGGGTTATGGTTGGTAAAAATAAATACAATAGATAAGTTACGACCACTCAAAATTGTTCACCTTACTAAGATTTTTGCATTCACTGACAATAAAATTGCCAGTTGGAACTTGAACTGCCTATTGTGAGCCACTTGAACTCACTTCAGTTGATTTTACTTTGAAGTTGTAGTTTACTTGTCAACTACAACTTCAAAGTAAAATTAACTAAATTTATCAAATAAGATTAACTTTTCATCAGAAACTTCTGAAAGTGAGTTCAAGTGGCTCACAACAGACAGTTCAAGTTCCAACTTGCAATTTTATTGTCAGCGAATGCAAAAATCTTAGTAAGGTGAACAATTTTGAGTTGTCGTTTTTACAGTTACACAACATAGGCCAGAATCTTGTAAAACTGCTCAAAAATGTTCCTGGTATCAAATCTAGGTTTGATTCTGTTCTCCACGCTATATACTTTAACCGTAACAACCATCCACAGCCATGCCTGTACCTTATCCTGTTCTCAAGATTTTTGCACCCCAGACTTAACTTGATGCGCAGGAATCAATTTGCGCTAGTTATAAGGACAAAATGTTGAGTAGGGCGGCAAATGTGGGACCTTGACACAAAATGTCAAGGTGCTTCGTTCACAACAACAGGCTGATACTCCTCTGTTGCCACTTGCAAGGGGAGAGGGTTTTTCATTGCCTCGCGGGGGTTGTTGCCTTCAGCTGAGCAAACAGAACGTGAGAGTTGTCCAAGTTGACGATGGTTAAGTGGGGAAGGTACAAGATTTTTATGGGTGCTGTGAATGTTCCAGCTAAATCCAATAAAGGACAGGCCTGTGTTACATAATGCTATTCTTTTAAGCCAACATGTCCTGAGAGTGGATTTTCCTAGGTGTAAATTATATGTTGTACAATAAAGTTAGTAGAAATTAATCACAATCACATATTTTGTGGTAGAAATTTGCAAAAGCTGCAATAAAAAAAATCTTATATCTTAATCTTAATCTTAAATAATCACATGAACTAGGTTATAATCGTTAGATAAAGATTTGTCATACTTTAAGGACAGTACCACTTTTTTAATACATGCGCAAATTGAGATGAACAAAATATTAAAACAAAAAAGCATGTTATGCTATTGTACATTCAGGTGCTCTGGTAGGGGTAACTAGCACCTGGAGAAGACCTACACAGACACAGGTAGAACATGTTAACTTTGGTCAGACAGGCTTTGTGCCAACCCGGGAGTCAAACCAAGGACCTCGCTACTTGCTTATACGTGCACACGTTTGGTGCACAGTGCACCGAACGTGACTGCATATACAAAACAAACTGCTTCAAAACATTTGAAGACCTCAAAGGACAGCCTTTTGATGTGTATGTTATTGGAACACTGGTGTAACCTTGAGTCCTGCTCTGGACATTTACAACCATATTAGGCCCCCTCATTATCTGCTCCTAGTAAAAGTGAATGATGGCAAAGGCCCACCTGTGCGTCCCCTTAGCTGCTCATGTGCATTGTTGGAGGGGAGATCTGGATATAAGCCTCACTGCACCATGCTCTTTTAAAAGGACATTTCTTTATCCGTTTGCATTGACTCCCTTCCTCTCTTTTACTGCCTGGCTTTATTCGCCCACTGTAACTTGATGAACTGTAACTGAGCACAGCCAAACCTCTTGCCCAGGGTAATGAAAGATTTCACAGCGACTTCAAATGACTTGTCGTGGGATTCCTCGGATTGAACTTGAGAGGAGAGTTTGGGGGGGATTGCTCATTTGTTTTTTGCTTTTTTTTTTTGCAATTGTGCAAGCCTGAGACCTTCTCCCATCGTTTGTCATCATTACCTCTCCTTAGCTGCAGGCGTGTAATAAGAAGGGTGGCCAAGCACCTGAAATACGTAGTAGCCCCAAAGCTTGTCTTTCTTGAGAAAATTCCCCCCTCAAAATGAGATGAACAAAATAATTTAGAAAATGCAATAGCAAAAAGTAATTGCACACTCGCGCATTATGAACAGTCAGAAAATACCATTAACATTATGGCATAATCCGTTAAATCCAAATAAAATTAAAACACTGCTGCGGTAATTTTCTCTTCTCCATAGGATTATAAACAAATAGGAGATGGTGGTTGTGGTGCATATTTGTCTTGATGAGCTTCTTTCTAACCTGAAATTGCTATTTAATATGCACACAACAATAAAGACTGGGACTAGCCATCCGTAAACTCAGTCAATTATAATTTCCCTACATGTACGGTCCGGGTCTGCTCCCAGTGTTTGCATTTACATTGGTTGAATCCCATCCGACCAATTAGCGAGCGAGGGAGGTAGGTAGGTATTGGTGATGTCAAGAGTTAGGCACCAAATTTGATTATTGTAGTTTGGCAATGGCAGAAAATGCGATAGTAAAGTTCTGGTTCGGCTCCAAATTTCAAGAAATTGAAGCCGGAGCAAGAGGAATGTTAAGTAAATGTCATTGCTAGCAAATATTGTGTGGCTCTTCTCTCCATGGACATTGTTAGTGGAAAAGGAGATGGCCAGGCTAAATGCTAAATGTTAGCGACTCACTCAGGCACATTACATACATCACAGTAAACTCTGTTAACACATGGGAGCTAATGGAGCAAATACAGACCGTAGTACGAAATGTATTTTGTACAATGGTGTGTCACGATCAGGCTAGCCTGGGACACAATTCAAACTTTATTCATTATTTCTCCAACACGTTTAGGTTACTATTATTCTATAGTCAGCCGCATTGTTCTTGCACTGTTTTAAATGCGAGCATGTTAGCGACCAAACGTTTTGGAGCTGTACTCCTAAACAATCATGCAATTTTTTATTAACTAGCGTTCAATGTTTTAGATAAATTAAACGACATGATTGTTTTTTTGGTTTATCAAGTCCTGAAATTATTTACAATATTGATAACATGACAACTAGGTGAATGCTGCAAGTTAATAATAAATAATCTAAATTATTCCAGGGTTTCAACTAAAAACTTGGCACAAGTGCACTAGGACATGGTTGCATCTCCATTATTATGACACCCCCGATGCTGATTGTTTTTAGCACAGTGACAGTAAAATTAGGAACATTCATTAACATTTATAGACATTGATCATCTGAGTGCCT